AAGATCTCCCACCTGATGCTATCACCTCTAATGAGAGCATGTACTTAAGGTGGAAACAACCACATATATGGAATTCTCTCTTCTGTTACCTAATTAGAACTTCTTAAAATAAAAGGAAATGTGCAATTAAGATTATGGGTCTTTCTCACTCTGCACAGTGTGTGATAAGCAGCAGAAAGATCAACTCTCTGTTCATTCAACGATTCAACCCTCTGAGTGCTTACTACACAAAGCTTCTGTCACCAGAGTGAATGATCAATCAATGCTGATACTTCAAAATGCACCACGCCTCTCAGCCATAACACAGACAGCTTAAGGAGGAAACGATGAACAAGTTTTAAGTAATGTGGTTAGTGGCCAGGATGGGTTACAGGACAGGAAATGGCCAGTTTAGTATATTTGTACATCCAAACAAACAGACCCAGAGAACCAGGGAAGTGGAAACCTGCACAGGGCTCTGCAGAAAGGACAACACTCTACCAAAGCTTCTTTGGCAGGATATCTTAACAACAGTCTGAGCTCATCCTCTCTTTCTGGCTTTGGGAACTTCTTCCCATTAATTTTATCAACTTGGTATATTTTTTACAGGCTGTTGGTGTGTATTATTAACATGTCTTCCCCATCCCAGAAAGTGGTGTGAAGTGGGCTAATGCCCAACTCCTTCTCTTGCACAGACGGGGCTACTCAACATTTCTGGAGGAGTCTGCTTCTGGGGTTGATGACTTTATGAGGGATGTTGAATGACCAGAAGTGGAGAGCTACCATCTTTAATATCCATTCCAGGACATGTAGTGACAACTCTCAGAACCTGGGGCCTTGGAACTAATTTTTAAAACCTATTTGCAGAAGGTAAATTCTTCTCCAATTCCATGCTCAAGTGACCACATTTAGAATCAGCACCAATTCACTGATGTGTATAAAAGCAGCAAACGAAGTGTTCCATAGAACCCTAGGATAAAGGATGTGTGGCCTAACTAGAAAATATACTCCTGAGCATCACTGTGAGAACATAGGTTGTTGTTCCCAGGCGACTGGCCCCACATGAGCCCTCTAACTTGTTCAAAGCCTCAAAGATCCTCTGGTCACCTGTGTACCTTCCCTGTGGTCACAGCAAATGACCTAAGTCTGTGAAGTACTCCAATGGCTGGAAAGAAAACTTACTTTGGACAGTTCAGACCCAGAAGTTTGCTTTAACATAGGAAAGGGAAAACATTCTGAAAATTTCTGAGGCCCATAATATCACAGCTAGAGCTAATCAGGGACCAGGGACATAAAGCCAGGTCTAGTGTCCACAAGGAATGAAAGTTTAATTCTTTTCATGGATTGCAACTTTGCTTCAACCACGAGATTCCTAGGTATGGCAGTGGCTTGCAGACCTCTAACCTCTGTGTCTATTTCTGTCAACCACTCTGGTCTCCAAAAACATGCTCAACCCTTGTTTACTCACAACATACTTGAAGACCCAACAATGCAGGTATCAAAGAAGTAAATCCCAATGATCACCAGGTAGTTCCACCCACCTTTACTCAGTAATTCAGCATAGGGGAAAGGCCCGTGTATGAACAGAGCACACAATTTAGCATGAAGCAATATCTTGTAGATAATAAAAATTTCAATCCTAGAACCTTTGGCAGAGGATCTCTCTGTTAAATAAGCAGGGTATCAATTATTAGCAATAAAATAAGATCACGTTGAAAAAGTGCATGTCAGCCTGTTATGGTTTGGGTCTAGGTGTCCCCCCAAAGCTTCATGTGGTCACAGTCTTGATCTAAAGTATGTGAAGCTGGAATTGACTCATGATGCCATTCTAGGCTCAGGGATTAAGGGTGTGAGTGCTAGCCACCCTAAGCAGCCTGAATAAGATAAAATGGGCATGAGGACACTGTTAACACTCTGTTACCTTTGCTGCCTTATGTGTACCATATTGTTTCTGCTCTGCCATACCTCTTCATTGTCCCTGCCTTGGAGCCAGCTGATAATGGACTGAAACTTCCACAAATGGTAAGCCAAATAAACTCTTTCCCCTTTAACTTTGGGTGTCTGGTATTTTATCTCAGAAATGAGAGAAAAGTAACTAACACACAGCCCTTTTATGCATCTTCACATGTAGACTTTGTAAAGATAGAGGTACTTAAAAGTGTTTTTGTTCCAAGGAAGTAGAAAAATCTTCATTTCTTTCAAAATTTTACATGGCAGATGGAATGGTTTAATCTGTGTGCCCCCAAAATATGAGAAGTATAAGAAATGGACTCTTCTTGAGAATGAGAACTTGTGAACTGGTTCCATAAATGGATTTTCTTTTACTCACTGATTCACTCCAACAAGACAGAAAGGGCACTGCCACCAATAACCTTGCCTTCTCTGAGCCATCTAACTGTGATTAGAAATCACCTCCTAAAGCCAAGTGCAGTGAAGAAAAGCTGCATTCCTATTTCCATCCCAGCAACAGGCAAGGCTAGGGCAAGCCCAGGTGCTGTAGTCACAGTTCTGAGGGACCCTAGTGAAACAAAGATCTGCAAGTCCAGGATGACACATGTGTGGACACACATGAGAAGACACTGGCTGAAGGAGCAGGCTCCATACCTGGCTGTAATAGCATTCTGCCTCTCCCAAACTCTTTGGGCAGTAGCAAATCCCATCAGGCTCTCTGTCCCCTCTACGTCTTTTAAATCTCTAACCTCAAGTATGAGTCCAAATCTATGGACTGAGATTTAGCTTGTATGACGGTGTGTGTATGTGTGTGTATGCACTGACAGATGCGACATGATATAAAGCCATTCTGGTACTGCAGGCAGATGTGCACAACTCAACTGTCAGAAAAAGGAATAAGTCATCGAGACCCCAGCCTGCTAAATATCACCTCCACAGAGATTCAAGTCATTTGATCCAGGAGAGGCTGTGATTGACAAGACTCCTCCACAACAACTGAGGAAAATTAGGGACCAGTAAGTTCCAAATTAATTATGCAGGTATAGAACAATCACTGAATGGAAGCCACATGCAGATTTAGTTGGAACATGAAATCTCAAATGTTTCTGACTGCTAAGTCTTAACTGTCAATGTAAGAACTGAAAGAACATTTAAAAGTTGAGTAAGATTGCATCTTATTTTTTCTCTGGGTCAATGAATGACTCTTTTTAAAATACTTTTTGCTGTAGAATTCTCTCAGTTCACTTCAAATTGCTCTAATGCTACTCATTAAGACGAGGCTGGGGGAACAGGGGATATCCTTATTCCCAGCACAAGAAATGCGATCAGCAATCCTCATGTTCTGTACTTTTGGAAGTAAAAGGCAGAGAGGGGAGAGTTGGAAAGAAGATCATAAAAGTTTTAAATAATGATCTCATACAAAGTTGTTGCTATATCATAAAATACCATCTGAAATGCGAGTAGAAATACTTATCTGATAATTGATTTATGTAATCATTGATAATGTGTCATTATCAATATAACCCATCTGAATCCTTTAGCCTCCGTACTAAGTATGTAGATTTTACTAGTACATTATGGAATATTATAAAAAGGAATTATGGGTGTGGGTGGGCATTTAATTGCAAACCATAACTCCAAACATACATTACTGCCCTGTTCAAATAAGAAATTATGCTGAATAACATAACAGCTTTTTTTTTTAAAGTGTGGGGAAATTAGGAAAACAGATGAATTTTCACAAATACACAATTAGGTCATCCAGCTCAAGAACCCACAGGCTGAAGCAGCCCTGGCAGGGACACTTGCAGTCATGAGGTGTCGTTCACATTCACAGGAAGCCAAGTTCTGAACCAACATGCAGTGTCCCTCCGTGCCAGGCAACAGGTGACTTGCTGTGGGACTTGCTGTGGGCGTGGTTAAGCCACCCTGGCAGTTTGTTAATTAAAATAAATTCTCATTTCTTGTCTCTCTTTGCTTGAAGGGAGACCTCAAAGTGGGGCACTCACTGGTTCTCCAAGCACAGTTCCCCACCCCGCTGCCCTGGACCAAACCACTTTTGTAAACAGCTCTAGACTTTGGCCTGAAGGAACGCTTGCCTTTCCTGCTGGACTTTCCAGAGTAATTTGGAAATCCCTATCCACCAGCCCTTCCCTTGCTCAGAAAGGACTGGCCAACCATGGGACACCAGGGACCTCCACCCACACCAACGCCTAAAGGGTTAAAATATCACCCAAATAAACGCACAGAAAATTCCCACAGAACAAAATGGCAACCTCCAGGTCCTCACACAGAGATCCCAGCACCCTAACCCAAACCCCAGGGTCCAGGAACCCTAAGTATGTGAGCTGCTGAGGCCACGCGGGCCAGGGGGGTGCAGGCAGAGAAGGGTCGGATGCGGGGAAGGCGCGATACTGAGTCCTCCTCAAGTTAGCAAAGTTATCCATGACAAGTTGCCCCCTGGCCTGCAGCCCTGGTGCACTGTCATCTTTGGGGAAAGATGAGCCTTTATTATTATCTGGCACAACCTTTGCGTTGAGTCATCCTTCCGAAACCTGGGGAGCAGGGCCCCACCCGGTGGATAACCGAGGACGCGGTGCCAGTGACCAGGGCAGAACGGCTGGCGCCTCCCTGGAGTGTAGCAGAGAATTGATAACCCCAACAGGTCTCAGCTCCGGGGACTCGCAGCCAGGAAGGCAGGCGCGGGCGGCAGGGCCCGGTGGTGCTGCCCTGGCTGAAGAAGTGACCCCGTCCCTGCGTTTCCTCCAGCACAACCCAGATTAGCTGTTGGGACCTCGCACAGACGCGCACCTTCGAGGGCTCTCCCCGCAGCCTGAGTCCAGAGACACAAAGCCACATGCCCAAAGCACAGCCGCCACGAAGCCACCAAGTTGCGGATCTCGGTGACGTCTGGTTTCCGCGCCCCGGGCACAGTCAGTGGGCTCCGGAGGGAAGTGGCCGCCGCACTCGCCGGGACCAGGGCTGTTATTCCCGGGAAAAGGGCGCTCAGGAGAAGAGACCCCCGCCCGCTGCTCCTCACTGCGGCCAGGCCGCGCCGCGGCAGCACTCACCATCACGTTCCCCTGCATTTTAGCCGTCTTGATCATCGCCTTTTCCTTCATGATGCCCCGAGTCTGAACCCGACTTCTGAGCTAGGGAAGAGTAACTTAATCCATTGTCCTGGCGAGGATTAAAGTAGCCACCAGCCTGAATCAAGAGTGGGTGGAGATGGCTTTTTGAAGAAACAAAAAAAAAAATTTGCCCGTCTTTGGTTTCTCCTCCTCGACTCTCGCCGACCCCAGCCCAGCGGATCCCGATAGCAATCAAGTCTTATAGCGCCGCCAACCAAGGAGGAGGAAGCCGGGCGAGTGCAGCTTGTAACAAAAAGCTGGGAGTCGGGAGGAAGAGGCTGCCCAGCGGCCGAGCGCAGACGGCGTGCGTGTCGGCTGGGCGCACGCGGGGACACTGAGCGACTCCTTGGGCTGGCGGCGCGGGCGCAGAGGTCCCCGCGTTGGTACCGAAGGGCGGGGGGCTGGGCAGGGAGCAATGCCACCGGCTGTGTGCGTGTGTGTGTGTGTGTGTGTGTGTGTACGCGTGTGTGTGCGCGCGCGCGCGCGCACGCGGTGCGAGCAGGATGTACTACCCAAGCTGAACAGGACCAGGAAGCCCCAGGCTGCAGCCGGTTGAAGCGAGCCTTAACAGATGGAGTAGGGCCGGGCGCGCCCCCTTTCCAAGCGCCCCTACTCGTAGACTTCCCCTCCGCCTTGGCTGAGCGCGCGAGATGCACGCACGCGCGGCTTTCCAAACGGGCGCCTCAGTGCTCGCGGGAGGAGCTGCCGCCTGCGGGCCGTGTTAACTATTGATCGGCTGTGACTAGCTCCTGACTGCGCCCCCCGGAGCAGGGCGAGGCAGCGGGAGCCAGACGCGGCTGTGCCTGTCTGGAGATGGAGCTGGGGGCAGGACCGCGGGAGCCTGGCGGTGGCAGCTCATAAATAATGTTGTTTCGGGTTACTATGGTACGCACGTTGCGTCTCCATGGTTGCTCAGCTTGGCCTTCCTGTCCGCTCCAGGGCAGCTGCCCTAGCCCAGCGCCTTGCGGGGCCTTGGTGCGCCCGACTCAGACTGGCATGACCGCGTGCACCCACACCTGGCTTCTCAAGCTGCTAGTCCTCCAGGCCTCCGCCCCATCCGCGGCCCCACCAACGACTTTGTGTCTGGTTCTCTGTCCCCTGCCTCTAGGATCTGATCTCATCTGCTTCCCACAGCTTAGTTGAGGTGCAAGGACTCCGCCTGCCTGGCCGAGTAACCCGCCTATGGGTCTCAGACCCCAGCGCCCAAGTCTCTGATTGCTGCCCAGTGACCACGCCCTGGGTTCCCAGGTCACCACCCATAGGCGCTCCTCGATTAATCTCCCACAGCCACCTTCGTTTTGTACCATGCACCAACCACACCGAGTCATGCACTCCCGAAAGTGAGCACGTGCAGATAGTGGTCAAATTCCTGTGCCCACTGACCCAGGCTGCTCCAAAATCCGGATTTGGAGCTACTTTAGTTCATAGGCTATTCAGGCTTGAACGCACAGCCTTGGGGTTGGGGGTGGATAATGGGCGCCGTCTCCTGGGAGGAAGGGGCAGTGGTGGAGAGACAGTCTGGTTGGATTCAGGAAGTCTCCCCGCGCCCCCCTTTTTGTTTGTTTGTTACATTCACAAAACGATCTTTAGTATAAAACGGAATAGTCGATTTTGAACTCACAAAGAAGTAGAAAATTCTAGTTGCAACACCACTTACATGTAAGTTACAAAGCACCGCACACTACCACCCTGTGTGTGTATACACTGTATATATAATGTGTAAACACACATACTCAAGTATTTGGTGTGTAGGTGTAATCATTTGGACTTGAGAGACAGAATAAATACGTAAACCAAAGCAAAATGTGTGAAAGGCAGTTTTAAAAGCGATGTGGCTCATGCTCTGCTGAGAAAGTGGTGGGCACGACTCGGGGGTCTAGAAATGTTGTATGGCTATGTCTAGATGTCCCACCCCCCAAAACCACATGTGGTCATAGGTGGGGCCTTTTCAGAGGTGGCTGGATCTAGAGTGTGTGATGCTGGGATTGATTCATGGTGCAATGCTAGGCTCAAGAGCACTGGGATTAAGGGTGTGAGTGCTATCTGCACTAAGGATGGGTAGCCTGGATAAGACATAAGGGACAGAAAGAGGCTTATCATTGATCACTTGCTTGCTTTTGCTGTCTTCTGCCTGCCATGAAGTGTTTCTCCTATGTAATGCCTCTCTGCCATGCCACCCTGTCTTGGAACCAGCCAGCTATGACTGAAATATCTACAAACTGAGTTAAATAAACCTTTCCTCTTTTAACTTTGAGTGTTGGATATTTTGTGCCAGCAAAGTGGAGAGTAACTAAGACAAATGATTTTCTCCTGTTAGGGTTGGTCTTAGTCTCTTCTGGCTCCTATAACAAATATTGGAAGTGGTGGCTTATCAACAACAAAAATATTTCTATACCACAAGGCAGGTGCCCTGATGACTAAGTTCCTTCTCTGGTTCTCATACCAGGGCCACTGGCTGTGTCCTGGCCAGGTTGGAGAGAGGAGGAAGGCAGCTCTATGAACTCTGCTTTATTAGGGCATGAAGAATCCCATTCATGAGTGCTCTCTCCCATGACCTAATCACCTCCAAAAGACCTCAATGCAAAATACCATCACCTTAGGAATGAGTATTCCAACATATGAATGGGGAAGAGTAGGCACAACATTTAGGCCACAGAAGAATTCTCAAACACCACACTTCTCCGGAAATGAAACCTTGGACACAGGTCACCCTTGCACTATTGATCTTTAGGGTGAATCTGACTGGATGTGGACAGATCGTCTTACCAATCTTCACTTTCTTTTAAGCAACATTAAAAGGGTTCTTTTTCTTCTTTCTTTAGAATAGCTTTAATTCATCTGAATCATCCTGTCTTTCCCACCAAGAATGGCAAGAGGGTTCAAACAACTGCACATCTACAATCTTCAGAGAATAGGCCTCCTGAATGCATCCCAACTTGCCTTCCCCTACCCCATCATGATTAGGGAGGGAGAAAAAAAAATCAAGAAAATGGAATAAACATTCTTTAACTTGCCATGTTTATACTTTCCATTAAATTATTCTAGAAAATGGAAAGTGAAATAATATGGATTAAACCTTTATGTTAAAAGCTAAGTAGCTATGTTAGTTCACTGAATGTCTTCCCGTAGAACTCATTAAATAGTCCAACTGCTAGCCTGGGCTCTTTATGTTCTCTGCTGCTCCTGCCCAGCCCATGATGCCAAAAAGCATACCGGCATGTTCAGATGAAAAAGCAGGCTTAACAAAGGAGAAAAAGAATGAGGATATAAAGGCCTCCAGGAGAAAGAAAAAAATGCAGAAATACAAGGAAAAAGTCTTAAGACAGGATGATCCATAATTTACACATTAATTGAGATAATTTATTTTAATGAGAAAATTAAATGAGGAAAACTTGAAGATAGTGTGACCTTCAGAACCTTTCTCCCCAACCCCTCCATGAGGCTGTCTGTGCTGTCGCATTCATAAGCAGGGAGGCTGTCTTAGTCTGTTTTCTGTTGCTATGGCAGAACACCAGAGAGTAATTATAAGAATAAAGCTTTGTGCACTGAGAGGTTCCCAAAGTTAGGAAGTTGAAGATTAAGTGACAGCATCCAGTGGGAACTCCCTACAGGGGCCCAAGGCAGAGCTGGGCATTCCATGCATTTCTCTTTCTCTTCTTATAAAGTCGCTAATGCCATCCTGAGGACCCCACCCTCAAGACATGATTACCTCCCAAAGGCCCCACCTTGTCACTCACAACAGGGCCCAATTTGGATCTGAGTACTGGTGGGGACATTTGGACTTCAATAGACGCAAATGCGGTCCTTGAATTTGTCAGCAGGGCTGGCTCTTCTCACTCTGGTTTCTGTCGTTGGATTTCCGGTTTTCTTTCTGATCCACAGGAGTCAAAGTCTTGTTCCTCTTGTGATTTTTTCCATCCTGGAGTGTCTGAGGGCTTGGGCACAGAGGATCTGCCACCTTCCACAGCACTGAGGTGCCATTTGCCTTGCATAGCGCCCACCGACCCATGGGTGCTTGGTTAGGACTGGCAGGCTCCCTGCAGACCTGCTGGAAGGCAGACCTGCTGGAAGGCAGCCCTTGGTTTTGCCTAAATTTCAGCTTCAACCTTAATTTATAAATTTCTGGCATTAGCATATGCTTTAATTAAAGCAGCTCTAAGTTGAGGCTTTTGGCAAGAGGGTTCAATTTCACATTTGAAATATTGTAATGTTTACAACACAAGGGCTTTATCATGATTCTCTTCCTGTTGTTTATTATTTGAAGTTTAGTTGCTGAATATGTACCTAGGTGAACTCTACTACTAGGAAATTCAACATGTGGACTTCTCAATTTGTCAAAGTGAAAGCCCAAGTGGCTAAGGAAATGAGGGTAGTTTTTCTGATCACAAATTACTCTTTTAAACAGATTAATTCTATACTGACATTCTTTAAAATGTGAGATTTGCCATTCTGTTGAAAACCCCATTCACTCTGTACAATTTAATTTGCTCATAACATTGCAGGAAAGTATATACTAGGAAAAATGAGATCTGTCATCATTTATTTTACCAAATGCACAGATCTGATGCTAATGGTTTGGCAAAAGCATTTAACAAACTGTTTTTACCTTCTCTGAATCCATTCAGAAATTAGACAAATTAACCTACAATATGTCATGACAGTAGTGATTTATGTGATGAGTTTTATTACGGAACATCCAGTCTTCAAGGAGTTCACAGTATCTGTCAGGAGACATCAAAATTAATAATATTAATAGCAACATTAATAGTACAAATATGATCGGGAATATAGATGTTAGTGCCGGTGTGGTGTTTGGGCAAGCAGTGAATGGTAAAACAAGAGGTGACAGTTAAAATACAACTTGTAGAACCAACTAAATGTAGCCATTAGGGACACAGAGCCAGAGGAATGCAGTGCACGAAGAGAGGGACTTCTTGAATTGTCCTGGAAGAGGATGAAAGGAACCTGAGGCCAGGTAATGGGAGCCCTATGAGTTATTCCCTATGGGAATTGAAATGCCAGGTTAAGAATCCTGGCAGAGAGTAATACAGCAAGACCTAAGTTTTAGAAGATGAGATGGCTTCTCTTCTGAACTGTCCTCTAAAGACAGAGGCATGGAGTCAGGAAGACAACTAGAAAGTCCCTGCCCTCGTTCTGAGCAAGAAGATGAGGGTGTGGAACATCTGAGTAGGTAGTAGTGTTACTTCAGGCAAAATGGATCATCATGTAACACTAGTTAGTCTAGCATTACCTCTGTGACGTGTTTCTTCAGTTTCCTTTACTACCATACATTGGCATCTTACAAAGAGGTGGAATGAAGTGTAATATATCACCAGAGTGGTAGTGTAACACTAAAATGGCTGTATTGGCCATATAATCAATCATCCCTCTAATAGTTAGAAGAGCACTTTTAATAATCATCACATTATTTTACATCTGTGTCTGTTTTGTCACATGCAGGCCCAGGGCCCACTTTCCTTCATATGCTCACAGTCTTGAACAAAATGTGACAAAGAGTTGGTGAACAAGTCATGATTCTTCAGCAAACAAAGCAATGAATGAAGAGGTATTTGTATCATTACCTCTCTGTTATTGTTACAGGTGGAATTGGCAAGTGACACACACAGAGGCAGCAGAAT